GTCTTCTTCATGCCATTTCCGAATGAATTCGGCGATTCCTTCGTGACATTCAACTCTTGCTGACGCTTTACTTCTGGTTTCTTGACCAGCTCGCTGTCAGAGCGAGCGAAATACTTCTTTGGAACCGTCTTGCTGCATAGCTTGAGACTCGGATGCGTTTTCTGGAAATGCTTCTCCTTCTGCAAATAAACGAGCTCAAAGTCCCCTGTGGATGCTTTGCGGTCTTTGGCATGGTCCACAACCACTGCAATGTAAGATACATTCGTAAATTTTATACATTGTACAACGAATATATTAATTTATACACTCAAAACGTTTTATTTTTTACCTTTAATTACATCCTCTTAAACCTTAAGGCACATGTTTTTTGTTAAAGGGGTCGAATCAAAAAGTGCTGGGTTTGAATTAATCTCAATCAACGAAGCTTTGAAATCCTCAGTAATCATAAAATCTGCACCGTACAACTCGAAACTTTTCGGTCTTTTATCGAGTTTATCTTGAAGCATTAACACAGCCGCAGTAAAGCATTTCTTCATTTCGGGATGGATTATAGTCTGGAAAACCTATATTCGAAAGATTGTTGGAACTAGTATGCACACTTCTGCTCAACCTTAATTCTTAACAATAGAAACAACAATAATTATTAATAAATGTAATGTCAATAGTTGTCAAAAATAAAATATATAATTTGTTACATTAAAATAAAGTTCTGATAAAAACCCTAATATCTGCGTTAATAAACTACAGGTTATGGGCCCAGTACATTAAACAGTAATAATACAAAAGCAAGATTCCAAACGAAACGGAAAATAAGTTATTTAAATAAAAAAAATACGTATATATTTACATAAAAAAATGAGCCAAGTTTCTACAAGTTATAGAATAGAACCTCTTAAAAATAACAATTACGATACGTGGAAGTTACAATCTCAAGCAGTATTGACAAGAGCTGGTTTATGGGACTATGTGTCAGGTAAAAACTTAAAACCTCTGGAAACTGCTAGTAGTGAAGTTAAAAATAAATGGGAGAAAGAAGATTTAAATGCAAAATCAGAATTAATATTAATAATTTCCCCAAATGAATTAAAACAAATCAAACATTGTATTACTTCAAAAGATATTTGGGATACTTTACAAAAGATTTATCAAAGTAAAGGACCTGCTCGAAAAGCATCATTATTAAAAAACCTAATTTTGTATAAGATGAAAGAAGGAGAAAGTGTAAGAGAACATTTAAATAATTTTACAGATACAGTGGACAAACTATCTGAAATGGACATAAAAATAAACAATGATCTTCTTAGTATTATGATATTATATTCACTCCCATCATCATTCGAAAATTTTAGAATAGCCATTGAATCCAGAGATGAACTCCCTATCCCAGAAAATCTAAAAATTAAAATTATGGAAGAAAGTGAAGCTAGAAATAAAAGTTATCCAAGTACTAGTTCAAATGAAGGAGCATTATTTGGAAGAAATAAAAACAATTACAGAAAAAACTATAATTCTAAGAAATTTTTCCAAAATAAACAATATGAAAATAATTATAATAATTATAATAATAATTATCACAAAAAATTCGAAGATAAAAGAAGATATAAAAATTTTAATAAATTTGATTATAATGGAGATGATAGACAAAATTTTAATAGCAGAAACTATAGAGATGATAAATATAATTTCAAGATAAAATCAGAATCCTTTAAAGTGGAAGAAAAATGCCTAACATTAGGAAATGAAGAAAAGAAACAAAGTTGGTGTCTTGACAGTGGATGCACGTCACATCTATGTTCTACAAAAGAAGTTTTTATGCAACTCAATGTACCTAGTCAACCTGAATATCTAAAATTAGCCTCAGAAGATAAAATTGCAAAAATAGATGGAATAGGTGATATAAACTTAACTTTTTCAAAAGATTTTAAAGTATATTTACCAAATACACTTTATGTACCCAACTTAACTACAAATTTGTTGTCTGTAGGAAAAATTACAGATAAGGGACATATAGTAATATTTAAAAAAGATGAAGCTATTATAAAAAATAAACAAGGATTCATAATTCTAAAAGCAAAAAGAAGAAACAACTTATATTACATTCAAAACAAAAATGAAAATCAACAAGAAACTTCATTCTCAGTGCAAATGATGACATGGCATAAAAAAATGGGTCACATTAATGAAAATGATTTAAAATATGCAATGCAACAAAATTCTGTAAATGGTTTAAATTTTAACTCGACTGAAAAACTGGAAACCTGTGAAACATGTATAAAAGGTAAAATGACAAGATTACCATTTCCTCAAAGGGAGAATCAAGCAAAAAATATATTAGAAATCATTCATTCCGATGTTTGGGGACCATTTAAAATAAAGTCTCATGGAAATTCTCAATATTTCGTCACATTCATTGATGAATATTCAAGATATTGTAAAATTTATTTTCTAAAACATAAAAATGAAGTTTTAGAATATTTTAAAATTTATAAAAATGAAGTCGAAAATGAACATGAAAGAAAAATTAAATACTTACAAAGCGATAACGAAAAAAGTGAATTTTGCAATCAAAAATTTAATAATTATATCGAAGAATGTGGAATTAAAAGAAGACTGTCCGCTCCTTATACACCACAACAAAATGGTATTGCTGAAAGAAAAAATCGATCCTTATTGGATAAAGCGAGATGTTTGATCATTGGTGCAAAATTGCCTTTAAGTTTTTGGGCTGAAGCTATTAATACTGCTAACTACCTTTTAAACAGATCTCCTTCTCGAATATTAAATGGAACGACTCCTTTCGAAAAATGGGTAAATCGTATTCCGTCAGTAAAACATCTTCATGTTTTTGGAACAAAAGCGTATGTTTTAAATAAAAAACCAAATAAAGGAAAATTTTCACCGAGAGCAGAAGAAGGTATTTTTATAGGATATTCAGAAACTTCAAAAGCATATAGATTTTGGATGCCTCACAAAAGAAAAGTTGTAATTTCTAGAGATGCTAGAATAATTGAAAATAAGCTAAATAATTCTTATAATACAGAAGAAGATTATGATGTGCTAACTTATGAAGTAGATGAAGAAAAACAAAACAAAAACATAATACAAAACCAAAATGTTCAATGTAATATTGAATTAAACATTAAAAGAGATATTTTAGAACAAGAGGAAATACATACAGTAAATCAACTTGTAAAAGAAAGTGAGGAAGAAAATCAGGGTGAATTAATAGAGCAACTACAACTAGAAAAAGAATTATTAAATGAAGATAAAGTAGAAAACAAAGCTGAAAATAGGCCAAAAAGAAACGTTAAAGCACCAACATGGATAAATGATTTTGTTTCATATTTTATTGGAGAAAAAGATGAAAAAGAGACAGAAAAGAATGATTTATGGAACGATGCTATAAAGAATGAAATAAAAGCTCATATTAAAAATGAAACGTGGACAATATTAGATAAAAAACCAAATGAAAATATAGTCACATGTAAAATGATTTTAAAGGAAAAATTTAAAGCAGATGGAAGTTTGGAAAGAAGAAAAGCAAGATTGGTGGCTAGAGGTTTTAATCAACGTTTAGGAATTGATTATAGCGAAACTTTTGCACCAGTAGCAAAGTTAAGCTCAATAAGATTACTCACAGCTTTAGCTGCAGAAGAAAATCTAAAATTAACACAATTTGATATAATAACAGCATATTTAAATGGCGAAATCGAGGAAGAAATTTACATGGAAATACCAAAAAATTTTGAAAAATATTTGCATGAAATAATTATTGAAGAGAGTTTGAATACCGATACAGAATTTTACTTAAAAGCTAGAAAAATGTTGGAAGAATTAAAGAAAAGCCCAAAAGAAAAAGTATGTCAACTGAAAAAAGCACTTTATGGTTTAAAACAGGCTGGGAGACAATGGTTTAAGAAACTAGACATAAAGTTAAAGGAATTGGATTTTAAATCATCAGAAGCAGATCCATGTATCTACATATACAGCAAAGGGGGAGAAAAGGCTATCATTGCCGTTTATGTAGATGATCTAATCTTAGCAACATCTAGTGAAAAAATACTAAAATATATAAAACAGGACATAATGAAGACTTTTGATATGAGAGATTTGGGAAACCTAAATTATTTTTTGGGCATGGAATTTCATCAACAAAATGAATTTATTACTGTAAATCAACAAAAATATATAAAAGATTTACTAATAAAATTTGAAATGCAAGAATGTAAAAGTTCAGTAACACCTATGGAAGCAAATATTAAATTAGAAAAAGGAAATTCAGAAGATTTAGTGAATGTACCCTATCAAAATTTAATTGGATCACTAATGTATTTATCCATAGCGACACGTCCAGATATATCTTTTGCAGTAAGCTATTTAAGCCAATTCAACGACTGCTATAATATAAAACATTGGACGGCTGCTAAGAGAGTTCTTCGATATTTACAAGGAACTAAAAATGTACAACTTACATTTAAGAAAACTGGACAAAAATTAATTGGTTATACTGATGCTGATTGGGGATCATGCACAATTGATAGAAGATCATATACTGGTTATTGTTTTATTTTTGCCAGTGGCTCAGTCAGTTGGGAATCTAAAAAACAGAGAACTGTGGCTCTATCAACAGCAGAAGCTGAATATATGTCATTAACAGAAGCATCAAAAGAAGCTGTTCATTTAAAAATGTTAATAAATGATATGAATTGTAATCATACAAAAATTTTAATTTACAATGATAATCAAGCAGCACAAAATTTAGCAATCAATCCCATAGTGAGTTCGAAATCAAAACACATTTCAATTAAAGAACATTACATCAGAGATGTAATAAAAAAAGGTGAAATCGAAATTGCTTACAAGAGAACAGATGAGATGTTTGCAGATTTATTAACTAAATCTTTAAATGGACCTAGACATTTTTATTTTTCCCGGAGTATTGGACTTAAATTGAGCAATTCGTGAGGAGGAGTGTTGGAACTAGTATGCACACTTCTGCTCAACCTTAATTCTTAACAATAGAAACAACAATAATTATTAATAAATGTAATGTCAATAGTTGTCAAAAATAAAATATATAATTTGTTACATTAAAATAAAGTTCTGATAAAAACCCTAATATCTGCGTTAATAAACTACAAAGATACCTCTCGAACTGCTTCGAATCCCACATCAAATACGATGGCAGCGCCGGATCAAATGTGCGCCGTATATATTTTTTCTGGACCGAGTTGTTGGTCAGGTGAATGGCTCCGTGGAGGTTATTTAGGTTGTAAGTTTGTGCGCAAAATCTCAAATAACAAGACCTAAGGAAAACATTTTAAAAATACATACAACAAAAGGTGTCTGTAAAAAGTGGTAGCTTTTACATACAGTGATGTGATTCGAGTGACAAGTCACTTAAAATGTAATTTAACTTTATACATAATTCTATTAACAATTAAGGTTAATTTAATTATGCTTCAATATTTATTATGGGGCAGTGTACAAGTTTTTTAATTTGATTAATTAATTAATAATAATAAACTTGTTTAGTCTAGATGGCTGGTTGCAGATTTTATTCGCGACAAAAAGTCTGTTTTGCCTGATTCTTTCAAGTTTTGGATCACGTCCTTAACGATTTCCGAGTCCATCTCGAGGGTTTCGTCTGGCGACATTTTCTTTGCGTTTTTCATGTTTTGGATCCTACGCTCCTTTTCGTTCCTTATTAGGTCCAACAGTTCGTTTAAGGTGTTTTTAATCTCGTCGTCGTCGTCAAGTTTACTATCGCCCACACTTTCATTCAACTGTCTACTGAGATGACCACTTTTGTTGGTGATCTTCAACGCCTCCTTATAGTCTTCGTACGCAGTATCTTCATAGAATTCCAAGTAAGTATTGCAGTTGGTTTCGTTTGAAACTGACTTTTTTTTATCGGTGGCTGTACCGATAGTTTTTCTACGGCTCTTCCGCATTTTCTCCAGTTTGATCAGCCTCTGCAAGTTTTCCAAAGTCCTTTTCATGCCATTTCCGAATGAATTCAACGACTCCTTCGTGGCTTTCAACTCTTGCTGAGGCTTTACTTCTGGTTTCTTGACCAGCTCGCTGTCAGAGCGAGCGAAATACTTCTTTGGAACCGTCTTGCCGCATAGCTTGAGACTCGGATGCGTTTTCTGGAAGTGCTTCTCCTTCTGCAAATAAACGAGCTCGAAGTCGCCTGTGGATGCTTTGCGGTCTTTGGCGTGGTCCACCACCACTGCAATGTAAGAAAGATTTGTAAATATTATACAATGTTCAACGAATATATTAATTTATACACTCAAAACGTTTTATTTCTAACCTTTAATGACATCCTCTAAAACCTGTGGGCACAGGGTCTTTGTTACAGGGGTCGAATCAAAAAGTGCTGGGTTTGAATTAATCTCAATCAACCAAGCTTTGAAATCCTCTGTAATCATAAAATCTGCACCGTACAACTCGAAACTTTTCGGTCTTTTATCGAGTTTATCTTGAAGCATCAACACAGCCGCAGTGAAGCATTTCATCATTTCGGGATGGATTATAGTCTGGAACGCCTTCGGAAAACCTATATTCGAAAGGTACCTCTCGAACTGCTTCGAATCCCACATCAAATACGATGGCAGCGCCGGATCAAATGTACGCCGCATATATTTTTTCTGGACCGAGTTGTTGGTCAGGTGGATGGCTTCGTGGAGGTTATTAAGGTTGTAAGTTTGTGCGCAAAATCTCAAATAACAAGACCTAAGGAAAACATTTTAAAAATACATACAACATACAAGGTGTTAATTGATTTTAAGCGTACTTATACATCCAGATAGTTAGGGGATTGGCGCATGTAATAAGGAACCACTGCCTTATATCGAATTTGGTGTTGTGTATCAACAATGGCCGTTCTACAAAACATACAACAAAAAAATTACCAAATACTTAAAGGTAAGTTTATCATGTTTACCTATATACTTTTGGACGATATATCCAGTTTTAGGCTTATTTTTCATTATGTTAAGCATATAATTTAGCTCTCTACAAACATGAATACCTTTGCCCATGCTGCTATTGATAGGTTTTAGAATCCATATATTCATATGACCATCCATTTTTAGGTAAGGACAATATTGCTCGACTGTTTTAAGAATATAACTACTTTTCCTAACCATGTCGACCACTGTTGTGACGTTATCGCCTCTAAAGTGATTACCTATATACATAATTCTATAAAAAGCCTCCAAAAACCTCTTCCATTCCTCCTCTTTAGCCTCGGTAATATGCCTATCAATATCCTCATGCTTCTTCGTCTTGATAAACTTGTAACACTCGACAGCAGCAAAATTGAAAAAGTCCAAAGCGATTTTTCCCGTGGGACCTATCACTTTTTGCTCCTGAGTCTCGCTAGTCCTCACAACCCACTTCAGCAGAGATAACGCTGCCGTTATGCGGTAATCTTTGACGAAACTCTGCAGCTCGCTGGGCGAGGACGCCTTGTAGGTTCTCGGATGGTTGATCCCTGCCACTCCGGGAATCCTGAACCAGTATTCCTGCTTGGAGGCCTCGCAGAGCCCGCCTTTGCTCGTGTAAGAGAAAACGTCCCTTCTGAACCTGTTGATCAAGCTTAGTTTGCTGGAGTTTGCATACGCTTTAAAGTACTGAAACTGCGAAGACCAGTACAAATCAACCTGGTGTTCGTCCAGATGTTTTGACAGGATGACTCTTGCGCAAAGTTCGCGTAAATCCTCCACCCTCATCAATATATTCAGTTCTGGTACGGTGTAATACATCATCCGTCTTAGATCCTTATTCAAACCAGGTTCGTTTACGATTTTTTCTACCCATCCTCGGCTCACCAAAGCCTTTCGTACAACATTCCAGCGGCCGCGCACGGTAAAGGTTTTTTTCTTACGCATTGCCTCGTTTGCCTTCTGTTTCAACTCTTGTAGAGACAATAATGGTAGTTTGGGTGACGTAGGAGATGCTTTTTTCGCAACGGCAGGTTTTACAGGACTAACACTTTTGCTTCTTTTTTCTTTTTTTGCATTAATAATATCTTTGGATGTTTTTGGTTTACTTATTTCAGTGGGCTCTTTTGTTTTTTCCTTCTGCTGCATCTGGTTGGATTTTTTCCTTTTTAAACTAGTTTTATAAGCTGCCTCCAAATCAGGAACCACGTTGGAAAACGAGTCCTGCTTCTTCTTGTCCATGTTGAGTAGGTGGCTTCTTAAATTAAGAAGAACGTTCTTCATTTCTTTGGTCACCTCTGACAACTGTTCTTCGTACACCAGTTTTTTAACTTCTTTGTTTACATTGGAACAAGTTGATCCTTTTTCTGATACATTTTGACTTTTTGTTTCTTTTATAGATTTGTCCGTGGTTGTTTTGAATGATACTGCTGATTTGCTATTCAATGTTTTAATGTTTTCTGGTTTTGTTTGTTTATTTTCACATTTACCTTTTGATTTATCATTAGATCCTGATTTGGAACCCCCACTATTATTTTTTGCTTCGGATTTAACCTTATTATCTTTTGAAACATCCTTTTTGGGATTTGAGGGGAGTGTTTTATTTTTGTCTTTACTGTTTGGTTTCACGTTTTCCTTGTTGTTAGTTTTATTTTCGAGCTTGTTGTTCGTCTTATCCCTCATGTTATCTAGCCTTATAAGGTCCTCTATTGATTTGATTACTTCTTCTTCATTATCTGTCGATTTATACTCTTCATCTGTAACGGTTTTTATTGCATTTGATAACACATTAACGCTTTGATCCATGATTTTACCGAAATTATTGAGCTGATCACTTATTGCTTCCGAATGCTGTGGTTCACATTTTTCGCTTGTCTCTTTTATCCTCTAAGGGTTCAATGAGAATTTAAAATAATTACTCACAGAAAATATGCGGTACAAACCTTTGGATCTCCACCACTCATGATAATTTACACAGAAAATTTTGATTTGAAGGTTCGAGGATAAAACGTCACAAATGATGTTTTGAATGAATGTCGAACAATTTTGATTTTGACAAATAAAAGACGTGTTTGGTTAGAATCGTTTATTTGAGATGTAAATACAAATAATATTTGGTCTTAAAATTATGAGTTGTATATTTTTATGACTTGGCATTGCTGCTATTTATTTTATTATTATGTAGGTTGGCGTTGATTTTCACACTTTTACTTCTTTTATCTTTTTTCTCATTCATAATATCTTTGTCTGTTTTTGGTTTACTTGTTTGAGTTGGCTCTTTTGTTTTTACCTTCTGCTGCATCGGGTTGGATTTTTTCCTCGATAAACTAATTTTATATATAAAATTAGTTTATAAGCTGCCTCCGAATCAGGAACCACGTTGGAAAACGAGTCCTGCTTCTTGTCCATATTGAGTAGGTGGCTTCTTAAATTCAAAAGAACGTTCTTTATTTCTTTGGTCACCTCTGACAAGTGGTCTTCGTACACCAGTTTTTTTCTTCTTTGTTTACATTGGAACAAGTTGATCCTATTTCTGATATATTCTGACTTTTTTTCTTTTATACATAGATTTGTCCGTGGTTGTTTTGAATGATACTGCTGATTTGCTATTGAATGTCTGGTTTTCTTATTATCTTTTGAAACATCCTTTTTGAGATTTGAGGGGAGTGTTTTATTTTTGTCTTTACTGTTTTGTTTCACGTTTAAACGAAAGGAAATTTCCTTGTTAGTTTTATTTGTGATGACTTCTTCCTCATTATCTGTCGATTTATACTCTTCATCTGTAACACATTAACGCTTTAAATTGATCCATGATGTTACCGAAATTATTGAGTTGATCACTTATTGCTTTCGAATGCTGTGGGTTCACATTTTTCGATTGTTTCTTTTATCCTCTACAGGTTCAACGAGAATTTAAAATAATTACTCACAGAAAATATGCAGTACAAACCTTTGGATCTCCACTACTCATGATAATTTACATAGAAAATTTTGATTTGAAGGTTTTGAATGAATGTCGAACAATTTTGATTTTAACAAATAAAAGGCCTCTTTGGTTAGAATCGTTTATTTGAGATGTAAACACAAATAATATTTGGACTTAAAATTATGAGTTGTATATTTTTATGACTTGGCATTGCTGCTATTTATTCTATTATTATCTAGGTTGGCGTTGATTTGCGGCAGTAGCTTATTTAAATCGAAAAAACTCTCATTACAGATATAATTTTTATTGGAGTCTTTATCATTATTAATAACTGGAAAATTAGGAAAAATGTTTTTACCCTTTAAAATACTAATGGTCTCCATCTCCCAACTGTCACCCAATTGATGAAGAGGAATTTTGCGTTTTTGAATTTCGCCCATCAAATTAATGCGAATGTTTCCGGAACGCCCCAAACGTCTGTCATTTTCTTTTACGTTTGTTTTTCTGTTGGAAGAATAATTAGAGTTAGGTTTCGATAGGCTTTTTTTCGGTACCGTGTCGTTTTTGACGCTGTCCAGCTTTTTTTTCGCAGGCTGAGTGACCGACATCGGCAACGCTGGAACGAAATTGATGCCGCTGTCCTCGTTGATCACCGTTTTGTGCAGCTCCTCGATCAGATCCTGTATGAGGGGTCCCTTGTAGATATCGGGGGATTGGACTATTTTCGGGAACGTTTTTAGAATATTCCCGTCCGTTATGAACTTATTCTTGATTATTTCCCTGCGTTTTTGACCAAGAATAGATTCACGATGTTTCTTCTCCTCCTTTTTTTCTTGTTTGGATTTTGATTTTAACTTGAATATCTTTCGTCCTCTTACAGCTAGATTCATACCCAAATAGGGTGGCGTTCTAGGGAAATTTTGCTTGTACACCAAGTCAAATAATCCAGTATTAGCTTTAGGATCTGATCTTCTATCAATGACGACTAAAACACGAATTATAAAAACCAAGGGTTAAAATTTATCATTTGTGGATTTATACCTTTGATGGTGTCCTCCATTACTTTAGGACACATGCGGCTTGTAACAGACGTGCACAACGACATGTCAGGGCAACAATTAATTTCTATTAACCACGGTCTGAAATCATCGGAAATCATAAAATCGGCCCCGTAAATTTCAAAGGTATTTGTTCTTCTGTCCATGGTGTCTTGACTTGCCAGCATGGCGCAAACAATACTCTCTTTCATGCCTAAAACAATAAAATTAACAAACTATAACATCATTTTAACATTCTTCCACCTGGATAGATCACTTGGTCGTATTTCTCCATACATCCAAGCGTCTTCAAGTACGCTTTGAACGTGTGGCAATCCCACATGTTGTTGTCGGGTAATTCTTTGCTTCTTTGCTCCACGTTGGCGTATTTGCACTGAACAGCGTGGTTTGTCAAATGTAGAGATTCGTGGAAATTCTCCAAGCTAAAAATCTGACTGCTAAACCGCAAATAACACTCCCTGTACATCCAGACCATCAACGGCTGCACTGACGTGATCAAAAACCACTGCCGTATGTCGAATTTGGTTTTGTGGATGATTAGGGGCCTCTCTAAAATGACCTATGATTTTCTTAGATGAAATTTAAATATTTCTTTAAGCTTACCTATGTATTTCTGGACAACGTACTTTAATTTTAAGTTCATTAATTTTTCGACGTCCTCTAAATTTTTTACCAGCTGGATGCCTCTGCCGCGACATTTGTTTCCAGGTTTTATTATCCAGATATTTTTCATACCGTCTATGCCATATTCGGGCCAGTATTTCTCCAGTTCTCTCAATGTAGATTTTATCGTAGCATAAGTAGATGCTAATAAATAATCCTTGTTATAAACAAACATGCCATTGTGGTGTAAAAGATCGTAATAGTATCTTAAAAACGCATCCCACTCGTGCTCGTAGATTGTCGGTAATTCTTTGTCTATGTCGTTATGTTTTTGAGAGTCTATATATTCGCTGCAACGTTGTATAGCGAATTGTAAGGCCGAAAACTGGCACTTTCCATCGTTCGATTGTATCGAGTATTTGTCCTTAGGGTTAAACTTCTCAGCGAACCATTTTAACATTCCTATGCAAGCCGTCATACGAAAATCGTCCACGAACATATTGAAATGATCTGGGAAACCTATAAACTATTGAAATAAATTTATTGTGGATGATACAAATCCAACTTACCTAAAACATAACATCTTGGAAAGTTGATGACAGCCACTCCAGGTTCTGTATACCAGTAGGCTTGCGTAAGCAATAGAGCCAAACCTTCCTTGGAAGAAAATAAGGATCTACTAAATCTGCTGCATAATTTGTATGCGTTAGCCCTGTGGGATAAATCGGATTGATCCTTTCTGGTACTATAGTGGATGTCTACATCGACAAGTTGCATCATCCTGGACATGATCATTCTCTCACACTTTTGCACATAAGCCGCTTGCGTTTCCCATTCTTGTTTCATCGGCAGATTGCTGGTGATATCTTCTTCTGGTTTGTTCGTTTTTTTGGTCGCCGGTTCGTTTTTTTCGACCCAATTTCTTTTGAGCAGTTCCCTGCGGATGACGCTCCAGTTTCCCTTTATGCTGAACACTCTGTGCTCTCTAATGGCAGTATCAACGATTTTTTTGAGCTGTTGCAAACGCTCGGAAGTGATTGTGAGTTTGTACTTGTTTTCTAGGCAACTGTTGGACCTCTTGCTGCACGTTTCCAAATTTTGTTGATTTTCTTGAGGGGGCTGAGGTTTAGCGCTGGCAGGTGCACTCGTAGAGCCCACTTTAGGATTGTTCGGTTCATGTTTTTCTACTTTTACGTTTTTTGTTTCTTCGGGAGGGATTTTTTTAGTGCATTTCTCCAGTATGTTCTTAATTTCTGGATATTTTTCTTCTACAGCGTTCTGGAATGGTGACCTGGATGATGGCAATCCTTGCGCTGGTTTCGATGTCAAATTTGAATTTATATCTTTTTTTGGTTTACTCTCCATCAGGTGACACGTCTGACATCTTTTGTGACTGACTATGGTGTTGTTTGTCAGTTTACGTAGCCTGGGTAACTGTTTTTCCATGTTACCCAGTGACCTTTCTCAAGTGAGTCCTAGCTGAGCCACTTTTTCGTCCATATCCTTTTCCAACTCTGCCTTCTCCATCCTCTCCAAGTAACGTAGCAAAATAAAATCTATTATCACAGCGTAATGAATACGGAGAGTTTGATCCGATCGGCGGGAAGCTCGACGGCGAAATGCAACAGTTCGCGTATTTCCTGGTTAACCCACATCGTAATGTAGGACTCAGTGCTACGCTCAAGATGGCACCAAGAAGTTGCAGCCGCGATTCCCTGGCACAGCGGTCCCCCTCTTCACTATACGTCACGCTTTTCAACACCTTCCACTTCCTGGTCCCGCCCCCTCAAATTCATTTACCGACGCGGTTATGGGGTAGGTAACTTAATAGGTCAGGGTAAGCAAATTAACATAAATTACCGCGCGTAATTTATACTTTTAGTTATTGCATGGAAATTATAAATAGTGGCTGAAAGGCACTTAAAATAAAACACAACCAAGACTGGAGATTTTGTTTATTCGGTTTTTTTTATGAGCAGGAAATACATGTTGGTTAAAGACTGGGTTATTATATTTTGATGTTGCTTCCACATACAGGGGGTTTTTGTTGGCGTTCCACCTGACATTTTCTCGTTCTTTTTCAAACCTAGCATACTCTTTCCTATTGTGAACATCGCTAAATATTTTCCAACTTATTAACGTCAATAAACCTGCCAACAATATCGAACCCACCACGCCTGATACCCAATATAAAACAAATCTATTTTTGTATTTATATTATTTTATCCCAATCATACCTATGACGTCGACTTCTGTAAAGATTCTTTCGTTCAACGCGTCAATAATTATAGAGCCATTTTCACTGTAGTGATACCTATCTGAAGATTATCCTACAGACATCTTTATCCAAAAATTGACACTGTTTAAATTCCGGATCTGCATTAATGGTACCATTAAAACTCACTACGCTATGTATTTGATAAAAGTTAAAATTAGCGGAACAAATCATATCCTTTTTAATAAGACTGGTAACCGTGACCGGTCAACCGGTTAACCGGTTTCGTAGGAAAAAAAAACGATAAAGAACGTAACCGGTTTAACAGTAACCGGTTTAACCGTAATCGTAACCGATTAAAACTGTCACCGGTTTAACAGTTACTGTTTTAACGGTAACTGAAACCGGTTTAAGCGGGACCGTGACCATAAACAAACGAGTTTGAGCTTTTAGTAGGGATGCGCAAATTTCTTAAAACATCAATATTGACATCAAATGATATATTGAAAACACAATATCGATGTCATTAAAATATCTAAGTGAAAATGTTTTTAAAACTAAAACATTTAAAAGTTAGTAAAACAATAGTATTTTTATTACAAAAAATACAAACAAATATAAACATTCAAAAAGAAATAAGAAAATCTATAATTTTTTCATGTTTTCCAGTGCAGGCAACATAGTTTCGACAAAAAGAAACTGCTTGCTGCCGGAAAATGCTGATAAATTGATTTTTTTACATCAAAACTCAATAATAAAAAATAGGGAGTTTTCTTATTATTGTTTATCACTTAACTAAAATTTATTTTAAAATGTTTTTTATACTTGAATAATGATTATGTATTTGTTTTTTAGTTTTTAGTTTTACCCACTGTAGTGGGAAGTAAGTAAGTAAGTCCTTTTTTATTTTAAATAAATTTTAACACAAGTAAAATTGGTGGTATATTTATAATTCTAATTTCATTTTTATTGAGTACTTAAGTACTGTCTGTCCACTCTAAGTTGGCTGAACTAAGGAATTTTGTTGTTTAGATATTAAAGAATTGTCGTACTGTGTGCTTTTAAAACAGATTTTATATTATAAATAATACTAGTATATAATATGTACTAGTATTATTTATAATATAAAATCTGTTTTAAAAGCACACAGTACGACAATTCTTTAATATCCAAACTACAAAATTCCTTAGTTCCGCCAACTTAGAGTGGACAGACAGTATTTATTTTAAAACATTCAGGCATGAACTGCCTGGTTGTCACGGGTAAAGAAAGGTGAAAGGGTTAGTGAAGTGATCCCTTTTTTTATTAAAAACAATGAATTTGACGGTTACAGTTAAACCAGTTGCGGATAGACCGGTGACGGGTTTAACTGGTCACGGTTACGGTTAAACCGCCGATCCGGTCTAACCGGTCCGGCTCGGTTTGATCAGATCGGTTAACCAGATAATCGGACTGGTTAACCGGTTAATAGGACCGGTTAACCGGATATCCGAACCGGTTGTAATAATTTTAAAAAATCCGGTTAAAACCGAAACCGGTCAAAACTTGTCGAACCGGTTAACCGTTTATTACTTCAGGAATTGACATGGACGCAACTTCTCACATCTAAAAAATATACATTTATTAATAAAACACTACAAAAAGTTTGATTTGCACCTTTGTGATGGACAAGTAGCGCAATCTTCACAAAATGTTCCAGACTATCTCTTGTCATCTACATCGCAAGTACATTGACCACAGCTACAACAGTTACTGCCATGTCCAGAACAAAGTTTGTTATCACCAGGTGCAATGCATGTCGTATTACTGGATCTGCACTCGCATGTTTATCCTGTCCAACCGTCATCGCATAGTTTTTTGTGACCCCTGTTGCAATTAAAGTTGTCGCATTCGCAGTGTTTCAGCATCTTTCAGCATCTTTACAGACACACTTATTGCACTTGCATTCCCTGCGTCCAGAGCACACACTGGTGTTAGCATAAATCTGACACTCCCTCACATCTTTACTCCCTGCTTAAAATACCCCATAGAGACCTATACAAAATAATCTATCGGGCGCTACCGGATTCAATATGTGCATTTGTCCATGGTTTTTTCCGGATACGGCCCGATAGAAAATGTATAGGAAATTACCTATAGGCACACCATATATGGTGTGCCTATAGGTATAATAATAATAGTTATAACTTTTACATTTTTCCTATAGAGACAGATAGATATGTATATAGGGATATCCCTATAGAGCAACCACAAAGCATTTGAAAAAATTGTATTAAAACCTATGTGGTCCTATGGGGAAAAACTAGTTTCTATATTTATGTGTATTTCCCCATTGAAACCAATAGCAAATAAATCAATGGTGGATATCCCTATAGAACAACCATTAATCCCAACTATGGGTCCTATACATACCGATACACCCTATAGAAATACCATACATTCCGATACAAATATCTATCGGTTTGAACATGGTCTCTATGGGGTATTTTAAGCAGGGCTGGTAAAACTATGTCTATCACATTTGCAATTATCGCCATATCTGCTTTTATAGCATTTGCACACTCCACCAGCGAAATTTTCATGCTGATGACATTTGTCGGCCTGAAAGGCACTTAAAATAAAACACAACCAAGACTGGACATTTTGTTTATTCAGGTTTTTTATGGGCAGGAAATACATGTTGGTTAAAGGCTGGGTTACTATATTTTGATGTTGCTTCCACATACAGGGGGTTTTTGTTGGCGTTCCACCTGACATTTTCTCGTTCTTTTTCAAACCTAGCATACTCTTTCCTATCGTGAACATCGGTAAATATTTTCCAACTTATTAACGTCAATAAACCTGCCAACAATATCGAACCCACCACGCCTGATACCCAAGCTAAAACAAATCTATTTTTGTATTTATCTTATTTTATCGCAATCATACCTATGACATCGACTTCTGTACATATTCTTTCGTCCAACGCGTCAATAATTATAGTGCCATTTTCACTGTAGTGATATCTGAAGATTATCCTACAGCCATCTTTATCCAAAAATTGACACTGTTTAAAATCCGAATCTGCATTAATTGTACCATTAAAACTCGCTACGCTATGTATTTGATAAAAGTTACAATTAGCAGAACAAATCATATCCTTTTTAATATTAATTATACACTCAACGCATGGACGCAACTCCTCACATCTAAAAACAATACATTTATTAATAAAACACTACAAAAAGTTTGATTTGCACCTTTGTGATGGACAAGTAGCACAATCTTCACAAAATGTTCCAGAGTATCTCTTGTCATCTACATCGCAAATACATTGTCCACAGCTACAGCTGCCATGTCCAGAACAAAGTTTGTTATCACCAGGTGCAATGCATGTCGTATTTCTGGATCTGCACTCGCATGTTTCTCCTGTCCAACCGTCATCGCATTTGCATTGTCCACATTCGCATTTTCCATTTCCAGAGCATAGTTTTTTGTGACCCCTGTTGCAATTAAAGTTGTCGCATTCGCAGTATTTCCCATATATCAAATGTGCTGGATTTCCAGTTTCAGCACCTTTACATACACACTTGTTGCATTTGCATTCTCCGCGTCCAGAGCACACAGTTGTGTTAGCATCAATCTGACACTCCCTCACATCTTGACTGGTAAAACTATCACCATCACATTCGCAATTATCGCCATATCTGCCCTCATTGCATTCGCACACCCCACAAGCAAAATTTCCATGCTGATAGCATTTATCGGACTTTTCTTCAAAGGTATCATCGGATTTTTCCTCACAGCCACAATCGCATATAACGTTGACTTCGACTATAAACTCTTCATCTAGACCTGCTGGTTTGATGGCTATTATTTTTTTGTTGTTGCCTTGCGTACATTCTGTGGGTCGAATTGTCGCGGAAAAGTTGATGATCGTTCCTGCATGGACGTTGTTGCAACCGTTTGGTTTTTTGTCTTTTTCGGCACAGTTGTTTTCGAAGTATACCTCCATGTCGCTAGATGCGTTTGAAGTCATTGTTACTGAATCCACGATCCTCTGCGTATAAAGGAAATATGTCATTTTATTTTGGTTTCAAAGTTTTTTCATTGAAATAACATAGATAATTAAAGTTTTTTAAGTTTCCTGTAGCTTGGCGACATAATTGGATGCTTGCAACTTGGTACTTGCAACCTTGATGACGTACCAAAGTCATAATTTTAATAAAAATTGTTTAAACAGTTATTGGATTTTACGTCAAAACGGTTAAAGTTACAGGTAAAAAGTAAACGTAAACAAAACTTTTATAGAGATTCAAATTCCTACAGAAAAAGTCCTATGCATAAATGTAATAAAATGCAAAGCATTTAATAAATTTTACTGTCAAATAAATGGTTAAACTAATTAGTCCTATATGCATGTTGTTTTACAGTTAACTGTTCAACCTTCTGGTAAAAAGAAAAAAACTTCAATTTAAAAAATTCAATTTCCTCCAAATAAATGTTAATGCATTAATGAAAAAAATCCATAGCTTAAAAGTAGGGCATTTATTTAATCAATTGTACTGTCAAATATTGATAAACTAATTAGTCCAATGTTGTTTTTCGGCGAAACGGTTAAAGTAACATGTCAATAAAACTTTTAAGAAAAATTTAATTTCCTACAAAAATGTCCTATGCATTAATGCAATAAAATGCATAATTTAAAAGATATAGAACATTTAATAAATTGCACTGTCAAATATTGATAAACTAATTAGTCTCATGTTGTTAACGTTACAGGTATAGGAATAACATTTTTTATGAAAAATGTAACTTTCTACAATAAAATCCTATGCATTAATGCAATAAAATGCATACTTTAAAAGATATCGAGCATTTAATACATTTTACTGTCAAATTAATTGTTAAACCTATGTTTGGAAACAAAACTTTTATAGAAAATTCATTCATACAAAAAACTCCTATGCATGAATGCAGTTTAAAAGGTAATAAAGCATTTGATAAATTGTACTGTCAAATATTGATAAACTAATTAGTCCTATGTGGTTTTAACTGTTACCGTTACATGTAAAAAGGAAATAGAGTTTTTATAAAAAATTCAACTTTCTACAATAAAATTCTATGCATTAATGCAATAAAATGCATACTTTAAAAGATATACAGCATTTAATAAATTTCACTAAACCTATGTTGTTTTACAGCAAAACGTTTAAAGTAAATTTAAATTTAAAAAGCAAAGAAAACTTTACTAGAAAATTCAATTTCATACAAAAAAGTCCTATGCATTAATGCAATAAAATGTATAGTTTGAAAGATATAGAGCATTTAATAAATTGTTCTGTCAAATATTGATAAACTAATTAGTCGTAGGTTGTTTGACGGCAAAACGGTTAAAGTAACCTAAACAAAACTTAAATCGTTTTGCCATAAAATGCTAAAATACTGTATTTTATTAAAATATGACTTTGGTGACGAATTCTGTATTTGTAGCAAAGTATAGCAAATTAAAAAAAATACCAAATTTCCCATGTTATTTCAATTGAAAAACTTTGTCAAAATAAAAGTACGAGTAAGATTAAGGGCTTTTTTCTCAATATGTACCTATAGCATATATCATGTATACATGATATATGCTTAAGCATGCTTAATTAAGGAGTAAAAAATGTTTTTTGAAAACGAATAACTCTATTACTCACATTATAATTTTCTCTAATCAGTTCCACCACATTATCTGAGTTGTTACTCAAAGTACCCACGTTTGAGTTCTCAATATTACCGGATAACTTATGGTAGGTGTTGTTGATTTTCTGCCCACTTACAGCAAAAACTATGTTTATATTGTTTTGCTTCGCCACCTGATTGACATGCGATACCGACGGGTAATCGTACAGCAAAGAATCAGCGTATTCGTTGTCCGTGAGATGACACCTCCCATCGTTGGGTTCGATTACACCGCCTAATTTACCATCACCAGATATGTGGAAGCCGGCATCACTGGAATAGACCAAAAGATGTCTTGCTTGGGATCTCCAACCGATTTCCTTTTTACACACCATTGCTTGCATTAGAGCATCAAAACCACCTTCAGGACTGTCAATGTTTTCCGAGAGTTTCGCGTTTGTAACTTTGTAGTTAAACTCGTTGTAGTCTTCTATTAAGGACAGGTGGTTTTTAAAGCTGTAAGGTTTAGCGGTGGCATTATCAGGAGTGCTTGAAAATAAAGTTATTAAATTTTATATATTTTTTATATTTCAACTATCTTACTAAGTTTTCGGTGCCACATATGGTAACGTTGGTTTATCAACGAAACTCCCAAACCCTAATCTGAAGTTGTTGGTTAAACTTCTCATGGTATCAGATATGGATTTTCCTAAGGAACCCAAAGCCATCTTATGTTTCCTCATGGAAGCTGAAAGATCCATGAGGTAATATAAGTCCACTGGGTAGTTTTCCGCTTGTTTGTAACGAAATCTGATTGTGTAGGTTGAATTTCTTCTTAGACTTATTGTTATTTTTTGCGGTTGGAGTTGAATCACGCTTCCTTTCTTAGAGGAAAAGGGCTCGTGTTTGTCCAGTGAGTAAGATATTTTTGGGTCTATTAATGCTGTGGAACACCAATCTTCATTGTGGGTTATATTTAATGAACGGCAGTGAGATGAATTACCCTTAAATACATTATTATATATTTATAGATAATGATTTTGATATCTTGCTACCAACCTTCGGTGAAGTACACCAGGTGCACTCCAATTTCTCTTGAATGCAAGATCTGCATGATTCTTGTTCTTCGCATTTATCAAGAGCCAACACTGAATTAAACAACAGTAAACCAAGACAACAAATTATTAACATGTTGTCTATTTGAGAGATATGACTTAAACGGATGTAAAGTAAAATCACATCCTTTATAAGATATTTCTAATTCCACAAGAGTGGGAAATATAATATTTGCTTCTTTGTTAGTCACTGTTTTTTTAGTAAAAATAATGAATGTACAAAACAATTTATCCTTATCATGTAATGGTAGATATCAAATTTAAGCGTGATATTGATTTCATTCTATTTTTAACTAGCCGTATTATTTTTGCATACAAACACCTTCATATTGTCAAATATTAATTTAGTTATTTCCTATTAGCGAACCAAAAGTAAACACATTATAGATGCTATTTTTAGAAAATCTATTAACAAAAATTCAAGAGCTACTCGGTATAATTTTGTAGTTCTGACACGCTATTTTGCACAACAATAACTATTATATTATATTATATTATATTAGGTGGTTTTTATTTGACTCGTTTTTTTAATATAAATATACAAAAGTTTACATTAGCTTCATCAATTTTAGTCAAAAATAAGAAATTAAATTAAAATTTATTTTTGTCCTTATGTACAGAGCATTGTAAAGACTTTTAAAAAAATGTTGTTTAAACTTAACAATTATATTATATTATAAATACCCAAAATCACCGGGCGAAATTCCCTTTACCATAAATAATAATTACTACATAGGTACATACGTATTCGCGTAATTTAATCCTATTTAAAGTATGACAAATAATGTGTGAATTTTATTAATTTTAAATTTTACTAGGCAAGGCAAGTTTACTTAAATTTTAAAAGGTTACTTAAATTGTATAATTTAGCATATTAGAGCAGCTGAATTTTTAAAACAGCGATTTAGTGCTGCAAAAGGAGTTCCAGGGTCACAAAAATACCATTTGTTCCGGCCGAAAAAGAAGCACCTACTGTACTTAAAAATATCGTTTGTTTCCGAATATTCTGTCTTAAAAAAGTAAAATAGTTTATGTTTAAATGTTTTAAGTTATAACCAAATTGTTTTACGTTATAAATACATTTTAAAATTTTAATTATTAAATTATAGTATTATTTTGCGTAGGACATGCAAATATTCAAAATGGAATAGGTTATTAATAATCTTAAAGTACGAAAAAAAAAGATATATATCCTTATTTTGACCCATGCAACGAAGACTATTGTAACTCAGTTTTGATTGTAGACTAGAGTAACTCAATTTAATATAGTTTTCGCCTGTTCCTATGTGGATTATTACACTTACTATACAGGGAAGTTGTTCACTAGTTGCCTATCGTTTCATGTCTGAGTTACTGTCATCTTCCACCAAATAGTCAAAATCCACGTTTTTGAGTTACTATAGTCTTCGTTGCATGGGTCGATTTGTCGATTTAAAAAAAAGTTATTTATATTTTTTTTATCAACCAAAAACTCTTACAAAAGAAAAATAAAATTTCAAGCCCCTGTATATCTGCAACCCGTCAGTCTTTTCCGCTGCCCTTTTGCTTAATTAAAGTAGTCCGAAAGGACAATGATTTAGCAAAGTTTCATCAAAATCGAAAACAACTGGTTTTTAGTGGGAACACTTGGCGCCCCATAAGCATATGTTACTTGCAACGCGAAACACAAATAACGTGCGCGATTTAGCTGTGCAATTGAAACTTTGCGAACAAATTTTGTCGAGTAAGATTTCTGCCTTCCTTTCTTTTGTGAAAATCTACGTTTTTATTTAAAAATGATGTGCACTTCGTATGCTTTAAATGGACTGTTGACAATTTTTGAATTTCCACAATGCTATGGAGGTCCACCAGATGGCGCGCGCGTTGCGAAAACCCGATGCTTCTTTAGCAGATTTTATTATAACAACAAAACTAGAACGCAGTGGACCCACTAAAGTTTTGTTACTATCATCAATAAAAGTTATTTAAATAATTATGTCAGGCTGAGAAGTGAGAAGTGAAGTTTGAGCGAACCACAAAAAGACACTCCTCAGCCGTATGCCACAATGTTTCATCTTCAAGGCATAAATTTTTGGAATGAAAGACGGCCTTGAATGTAATTATATTTTTATTTCGTCAAAATTAAAACAAAAAAAATCTTATTCAGTTGTTTCATCTTCACCGGATGAAACAACTTTATTAGGGGAAAACGATTCTCGTTGAAAAAATGGATTATTAAAATTAGTGGTGGCTTCCTTAAAAATTGGATTTTCATTTTCATTCCATTTCATATCATCCCTTTCTTTCTCAAACTTGGCGTACTCTCTTTTGTCGTGGTAACTTATTAATACTTTCCAAATTATCAAAGTTAAAAGTCCTATTAGAAGAATGGAAGAAACTACTCCTGCAATCCATGCCATTACATTAACTACAGCACACTTTCTTTCATTTAATGCTTCAACCATAAGAGTGCCATTTTTAGCATAATGGTATCTAAAGGTTAATCTGCAGGCATCTTTATCAAGGTATTGACATTTCTTTAATTCTGGATCAGAGTTTATGGTATCATTAAAGTTCACGACTCTCTCAATTTTATGTAGTTTACAGTTGGTAGGGCATACTGCAACATTTCCATTAATAACACATTCCACACATGGACCAAGTTCCTCACATCTGAAACAATATACTTAAACAATCCATAACAAAAGTTTTTCTCACTTAGTTACCTTTTAGATGGGCATGTGATACATTCCTCGCAGTACTTTCCAGAATACTTCTTCTCATCTTTAGCGCATATACACTTTCCACAGTCACATTGTCCGTGTCCAGAGCATATTTTATTATCTCCTGGCAGGATGCAGGTTGTGTTTTTAGACATGCACTCACATGTGTCCCCCTTCCAACCGTCATTGCATTTGCATTGTCCACAATCGCATTTTCCATTTCCAGAACATAATTTATTTTGACCCCTGTTGCAGTTAAAGTTGTCGCATTCGCAGTATTTCCCATATATTAAATGTGCTGGATTTCCAGTTTCAGCATCTTTGCAGACACACTTGTTGCACTTGCATTCCCCGCGTCCAGAGCATACATTATCGTTACCATAACTACATTTACTATTATCTGTACTTTTACTGTCTCCATCGCATTCACATTGATCACCAAAACTACCTTTGTAACACTCGCATACGCCACAACCAAAATTACCATGCCCACTGCATTTGGGGGACTTTTCTTCATATCCGGGCTTACTCTCGCAACCACAATCACATAAAACGTTAAGTTCGATCAGGAGTTCTTCTTCAAGACCGGCTGGTTTGATGGATATCATTTTGTTCTTATTTCCTTTTGAACATTCAGTGGGCCTAATAATCGCGTAAAAGTCGATAATTGTTCCGACATGGACATTGTTACAACCGTTTTCTTTTTTGTCTTTTTCGGCACAGTCGTTTTCGAAATGTACTTCCACGTCACTGGGCGCATTGGAGGTCATTGTTACTGAATCCACGATTCTCTGTGATGGAAAATTGTTATTTTATTTGTTGGGTGTGGTTTTAGAATACTTACATTATAATTATCTCTGATTAGGTTCACTACATTTACAGGGTTGTCATTTAAAACGCCAACATTGGAATTTTCGATGTGGGCTGATAGGTGACGATAAACATCAAGGAAGTTGCTGGTTACGGCGAAAATAAGGTTTATATTGTTTTGTTTTGCCACAAAATTTATATGTGTTATATGTATTCCTTTCTTTTGTGAAAATCTACGTTTTTATTTAAAAATGATGTGCACTTCGTATGCTTTAAATGGACTGTTGACAATTTTTGAATTTCCACAATGCTATGGAGGTCCACCAGATGGCGCGCGCGTTGCGAAAACCCGATGCTTCTTTAGCAGATTTTATTATAACAACAAAACTAGAACGCAGTGGACCCACTAAAGTTTTGTTACTATCATCAATAAAAGTTATTTAAATAATTATGTCAGGCTGAGAAGTGAGAAGTGAAGTTTGAGCGAACCACAAAAAGACACTCCTCAGCCGTATGCCACAATGTTTCATCTTCAAGGCATAAATTTTTGGAATGAAAGACGGCCTTGAATGTAATTATATTTTTATTTCGTCAAAATTAAAACAAAAAAAATCTTATTCAGTTGTTTCATCTTCACCGGATGAAACAACTTTATTAGGGGAAAACGATTCTCGTTGAAAAAATGGATTATTAAAATTAGTGGTGGCTTCCTTAAAAATTGGATTTTCATTTTCATTCCATTTCATATCATCCCTTTCTTTCTCAAACTTGGCGTACTCTCTTTTGTCGTGGTAACTTATTAATACTTTCCAAATTATCAAAGTTAAAAGTCCTATTAGAAGAATGGAAGAAACTACTCCTGCAATCCATGCCATTACATTAACTACAGCACACTTTCTTTCATTTAATGCTTCAACCATAAGAGTGCCATTTTTAGCATAATGGTATCTAAAGGTTAATCTGCAGGCATCTTTATCAAGGTATTGACATTTCTTTAATTCTGGATCAGAGTTTATGGTATCATTAAAGTTCACGACTCTCTCAATTTTATGTAGTTTACAGTTGGTAGGGCATACTGCAACATTTCCATTAATAACACATTCCACACATGGACCAAGTTCCTCACATCTGAAACAATATACTTAAACAATCCATAACAAAAGTTTTTCTCACTTAGTTACCTTTTAGATGGGCATGTGATACATTCCTCGCAGTACTTTCCAGAATACTTCTTCTCATCTTTAGCGCATATACACTTTCCACAGTCACATTGTCCGTGTCCAGAGCATATTTTATTATCTCCTGGCAGGATGCAGGTTGTGTTTTTAGACATGCACTCACATGTGTCCCCCTTCCAACCGTCATTGCATTTGCATTGTCCACAATCGCATTTTCCATTTCCAGAACATAATTTATTTTGACCCCTGTTGCAGTTAAAGTTGTCGCATTCGCAGTATTTCCCATATATTAAATGTGCTGGATTTCCAGTTTCAGCATCTTTGCAGACACACTTGTTGCACTTGCATTCCCCGCGTCCAGAGCATACATTATCGTTACCATAACTACATTTACTATTATCTGTACTTTTACTGTCTCCATCGCATTCACATTGATCACCAAAACTACCTTTGTAACACTCGCATACGCCACAACCAAAATTACCATGCCCACTGCATTTGGGGGACTTTTCTTCATATCCGGGCTTACTCTCGCAACCACAATCACATAAAACGTTAAGTTCGATCAGGAGTTCTTCTTCAAGACCGGCTGGTTTGATGGATATCATTTTGTTCTTATTTCCTTTTGAACATTCAGTGGGCCTAATAATCGCGTAAAAGTCGATAATTGTTCCGACATGGACATTGTTACAACCGTTTTCTTTTTTGTCTTTTTCGGCACAGTCGTTTTCGAAATGTACTTCCACGTCACTGGGCGCATTGGAGGTCATTGTTACTGAATCCACGATTCTCTGTGATGGAAAATTGTTATTTTATTTGTTGGGTGTGGTTTTAGAATACTTACATTATAATTATCTCTGATTAGGTTCACTACATTTACAGGGTTGTCATTTAAAACGCCAACATTGGAATTTTCGATGTGGGCTGATAGGTGACGATAAACATCAAGGAAGTTGCTGGTTACGGCGAAAATAAGGTTTATATTGTTTTGTTTTGCCACAAAATTTATATGGGATATCGACGGGTAATCGTATAATAAAGACTCAGTGTATTCGTTGTTCGTGAGATGACATTTTCCGTCGTTTGGTTCGATAACTCCGCCGAATTTACCATCACCAGCTATATGAAAGCCGTCATCACTGGAATAGACCAAGAGATGTCTTGCTTGGGATCTCCAACCAATTTCCTTTAACATGAATATTTTAGATGTGTTTTTTTTTAGGATGGTTTACTTACCTTTTTACAAACTATTGCTTGCATTAAAGCATCAAAACCACCTTCAAGAAAATCAATGTTTTCCGAGAGTTTGGCGTTTGTTACTTGTTTGTTAAACTCGTTGGCGTCGTCTCTCAGAGACAGGTGGTTTTTAAAGCTGTACGGTTTAGCAATCTTCTTACGGGAAGGGCTTAAAATAAGTTTATTAAATTTTATATATGTCTAGGTATTTCCAAAGCATCTTACTGATTGTTTTGTCTTACATATGGTAACGTTGGTTTATCTACAAAGCTTCCAAACCCTAATCTAAAGTTGTTGGTCAAATTTTTCATGGTATCGGATATGTTTTGGCCTAATGCACCTAACATCATTTTGGACTCATTCATGGAAGCTGAAAGATCCATGATGTAATATAAGTCCACTGGGTAATTTTCGGCTTGTTTATATTCAAATTTAATTTTGTAAGATTCATTTTTCCTCAAACTGATGAACATTTTTTGTGGTGTTAGTTGAACGACGTTTCCTTTTTCCTGGGAAAATGGCTTATTTTGTGTTACTTTTAATGAACTTGTCGGAGATATTTTTTGTTTCTTGCACCATGCTTCCAGAGAATTTGAAGAACGACAATGAGCAAAACGATCCTTTAATAAAAAAATATATTTTCTAAATTATAAAATTTTAAAACTACTTACAAGTGGTTCACTGCACCAACTGCAATGCAATTCTTGGATACACGATCCACATGTTTCAATTTCTTCACATTTATTAAGAGTTAAAACTGTATGAAATAAAATTAAGTTAAGAAAAATTAATATAAATATGTTGTAAGACATGATACCTATAACTAAATGTTTTTTATCCATTAGGATGTGGATATAGTGGTGGGGTGATGACGCGTTTTTAATCAAAAATATTTTTTTATTGTGGTTTGTGGTGGTACAATTACGTAACTAAATTTATGTTATAAATGTAAGGAAATAAAGTTTTTTTAAAATTTAAAATGGCAAAATTTATAAAATTATATATACAAGGTGTCCCTAAACTTAGTGGCATAAATTTGGGAGCAGATTAAGCAAGTCAAAATAAGACGAAAATCTAAATAAATATTTTTCCTAATTAGGTATGTTTAAAAGATACAGGGTGATAAAGTTTACTTATCATATCAGTTTTTTAATATAACTTCCACTATGGTAGACGTGGAAAGGTGATATTTTGAGAACAGTCACTTACTACCAAAATACATATTCACACATAATAACAATTGTTCGAGTGAACGCAGTGTCGTAGAAACGGGGGTTGCTTAAACTTATTGTCCCATACAAACTTTGAGGTTAGGTTTTTATACCATTTGATGCATTTTTTCGATTACTCAGTTCGTCTACTATTAAAAAGGTATACCTCTCAAACTTCGATAAAATAAACCGTTTCCGAGATATCCGAGATTACAATAATTGTTATATCGCATTAAAGGACTAAAAGGTATATGATAACAAATTTTTTAATTGAAAAAACTACAATTTTTTTAATGTGACGGTCAGGGCAAAAAGTCTCGAGGCTCATGGAATGCCGTTTTTTAGTTTTTTCAATTAAAAAATAAAATTTGTTATCATATAACTTTTAATCCTTTTAAATAATGCGATATAACAATTATTGTAATCTCGAATATCTCGGAAACGGTATATTTTATCGAAGTTTGAGAGGTACACCTTTTTAATGGTAGACGAACTGTGTAATCGAAAAATTGTATCAAAGGTTATAAAAACCTAACCTCAAAGTTTGTATGGGACAATAAGCTTAAAGCAACCCCCGTTTCTACGACACTGTGTTCACTCAAACAATTGAAATTATGTGTGAATATGTGTTTTGGTAGTAAGTGACTGTTCGCAAAATATCACGTTTCCAAGACTACCAGAGTAGAAGTTATATTAAAAAAACTGATATGATAGGTAACACTTTATCACCCTGTATCTTGGAAACATAAGTAATTAGGAAAAATATTTATTTAGGTTTTCGTCTTATTTTGACTTGCTTAATCTGCTCCTAAATTTATGCCACTAAGTTTAGGGACACCTTGTATATATTTATATACAGTGTGACTCATTTGTTTGCGACTCTTTATTTATTGTACGATTTTCACTGGATTTGTTTTAAAGTTTAGATTTTGATAAACTGTTTTTTTGGAGCAAAAACCACCATATTTTTACAAAATACAAGGCCAACTATGTCAGTTTTTGAGAGTAAATTTATAATAATTCAAATTAGCGATTAAAAAAAAAATCCATGCACGGCACTGGATTCACTACCCCTTAAAACGACCCTATACTAAATTTTATTAAAAAAATTTAAGTAGAAACGATCTTGTAGCTAAATTAAAAATGCACAATAATTACTGTTTACAAAACTTTATTCTGTCAAGTTTTCCAAAATTAAACTAAACTGCTCGTCATAAAAATCGGCGCACCTAGTTTTTTGGAAAATATTTGAAAGCTCGTTATTGGAAAATTACTGAATCGATTTTGAAAATCTTTGGAAATTCTGAATAGCTGATTCTTTGACTCTTATGTCTAATTTTGGGAATACGATATTTTGCACATAGCATTATACTACAGGGTGTTATAACTTTATAGCTTTTTATAACTTTTATACTACAGGGTGTTAAAAAAAGGGATGATTTTTTGCCAAAATTTCAAATCCTCATTCACAGGGCAGTTGAGCTTGATAGTCGTAATACCCCTTTCTAATAACAGTTAGGTTATCCCTCGGGACGATTTCGAAATTTTGTGGATATCTGGTAAATTCTCATATAACTTGTTTCGATGCTGTATCCACTTATTTTTGTGAAAACTAATTCTCGCTCAAGGTTTTTTTTAGTGTAATGAGCAAGTAGCATTTTAAGGTAATGGGAACTTAAATTATGACAACCCTAATCTATTAATTTTTTCCTAAAATGCAGGCTTTATGTTGCAAATGTCACATAAGTTACCGGTCACCAACTGCAATATCCTAACATTGATGAATATTTTAACAAAATGGCTGTTGAAACAACTAATGTTAGTGCTTGATTAACTCAATATAGACTTAATTAAGATTGACGAAAAATTCTTTTATCCGAAATCGGCAGTAAAGTAGAACTTTATTTTAATTTACGATTGTTGACTACTTTACTGCCGATTTCGGATAAAATAATTTTTTGTCAATCTTAAGTCTATTTTTAGTTAATCAAGCACTAACATTAGTTGTTTGAACGGTCATTTTGTTGAAATATTCATCGATGTTAGGATATTGCAGTTGGTGACCGGTAACTTATGTGACATTTGCAACATAAAGCCTGCATTTTAGGAAAAAATTAATAGATTAGGGTTGTCATAATTTAAGTTCCCATTACCTTGAAATGCTACATGCTTATTACACTAAAAAAAACCTTGAGCGAGAATTAGTTTTCACAAAAATAAGTGGATACAGCATCGGAACAAGTTATATGAGAATTGACCATCTAACTACGATTATACGGCAATTTTTTGAAAATTCTCGTTATTCTTCATTTTAGTCCAAAAAATGAGGAATAGTTGATTCTTTGACTCTTATGTCTAATTTTGGAAATACGATATTGTGCACATAGCATGATACTACATGGTGTTAAAAAAGGAGAATTTTTGAAAAAATGCGATATAATCGTAGTTAGCCAAGATATCCACAAAATCTCGAAAATGACCCGATGGATAACCTAACTGTTATTAGAAAGGGGTATTACTATCAAGCTCAACTGCCCTGTGAATGAGGATTTGGAATTTTGGAAAAAAACATCTCTTTTTTTTAACACCCTGTAGTATAATACTATGTGCACAATATCTTATTCTCAAAATTAGACGTAAGTCAAAGAATTGCTAATTTTTTGGACTAGACTGGGAAATAACGACAATTTTCGAAAAATTGGCATATAATCGTAGTAAGCCTCGATATTTACAAAATCTCGAAAACGTTCCGAGGGATAACCTTACTTATATTAGGGAGGGGTATTACGACTATCAAACTCAACTGCCTCATGAATGGGAATAACTTGAAATTTCGAAAAAAATACATCTCTTCGTTTAACACCCTGTAGTATAATGCTATGTGCAAAATATCGTATTCCCAAAATTAGACATAAGAGTAAAAAAATCAGCTATTCAGAATTTCCAAAGATTTTCAAAATCGATTCGGTAATTTTTCAATAACAAGCTTTCAAATATTTTCCAAAAAAATAGGTGCGTCGATTTTTATGACGAGCAGTTTATTAGTAACATGTTATAATAGTATATTCAGGGCCGGATTAAGCAATATGGAGGCCCGGGCTATTTGATATTTTAAGGCCCTTATTTTCTTGGAAGTAGGAATTTTTTAGCGTCGACAATAAGTAGATATGTAAGTTACATTCTGTATTATGTAATTTTTTTATTTTTAAAATGGTTTTTCATCACCGGGTGATTTTCTGTCAGTCAAAACATGGAAGATATACAATATCTGACAGTTTCTCTGGGGGTTGCAACTTGCAAAGGTACATTTAATAATAAAATTTTGCTTTTTAATTGTTCTCTGACAAATTAATTGAAATAAATCTTACCCTTTTACCAAACACAATGATGAACAAACAAGGTTACATTTTTATATTTTTTTATACAATATTGTTTGAAGGATGTATTAATAGAAATTTTTTTATTTTTTTACTTGTATTTAAGTTTAAGCATGGGAAAAATTTCGGTTTTTTTTGTTATATTATAATGTACACATATAATATAATATGTACATATTATATAGATAGCACAAAGAAGTACTGAAAACGTCCTGAGTATATCTTGAATCAGACATTAGTAAGTCCCGAGTACGTCCGAATCAGGTCCTGAACCTTCCTCAGGACGTACCAGGGACATCCGATGTTACCAAATCGTCGCGACGGTCCCCAGAACGTTCTAAGTAAGACATCCTTTGGCAGTCCTGAAATACTTTATTGGGGATTATTGGACAAGCTCTACAGAATTGATGAGGGGTATTCCCAAAGGGTCTAAGTGACAAAAATAAAATTGTGAGTTATCAATGAAAAACAAATACTTTGAACATATAAATGTTGGAATATTTTTTAAGTCATTCTGCATGACACAAACTATTTTTAAATGACAATACAATTCATTATAATTAGAACCAATAAAATGCCAGTATTCCATGGTTACGCATTTTATCACAGCGACAATATTTTTTATCACCTTGTTTACACGTTGCTAAGAATTTTGACACTTTTCTTGATTTGAAATTTGTTGACATTTAAATACTGTGTTAGTTAAATGATTAAAATAATGAATTATAAACTCTAAAAGATCGATGGGTTGGTGTAAACGATCATAAAATTAAGGTAAGTTTGAATAAATAAGGTTTATTAAAGTCTTCTTATATTTTAAAGCACATTTTAATTTCAAATGTCAAACTGACAATTCGTTAAATCCTAAAATTCATTATATTTTCTCACTAAATAGGTATAACTCGTGGTATGATTAATCATCGATGATATTTACTCATTGAAACCGAAGCAGCACAGCTCGGTTTCAATTCGAAAATATCATCGATGATAATCATACCACTTGTTATATTATGGGTGATAATATATTATTTAGCCAACTTGACACTTAGACCCTTTGGAATATCATGCTTTAATTGCTAAAAAAACAAAAATTACGTCCTTTGGACGTACCGAGTATATCCGTTTTAATTTTCCCAAATAAGTAAGAGACTGGACGTACCCAAAACTTCCGATATAGGTCTGGGACGTTCGGACCTATGTGGGACCCGAAATGGACGGGACCTC